TAAAAGTGTGCGATAATCTCTTCAGAATCTGTTTTTAGTGAAATTGACAGTCCCCATCGCTGCAGACCTCTGATAAATTGGAAATTTTGGTATTTCTAAAAAGAAATCTTCGATATATTAATTTTAAATATTTATTTCAAATTTCATAATATATTTGTTTATTACTTATCTAAATAGATTAATATTATTACTTATTATATAAATAAGTGATTTATCAATAAAAAAATTTTATACCCAGAATTGCAATTGAATTGAATATAAACTATAACTGATCATTATTTATTTTTTTTTCTCTTTAGCTTTCACCTTTTCTGGTGGTAAGCTCCTTCTCCACGGGACTGATTGAGGTATAGACTGTGCTAATACATCTATTACTGTAATGAAGAGAAGTGGGCTGAGAGCCGGCCCTTGATGAACTCCTTCTGCTATTGTGAAGCCTGCTGAAGTACCTGTTGTGCTACGGACTATTGTTGTATGGCCCATATACATATCCTGTATTATTCTTATATATTTTTCGGGAACCTTTTTGTGGCGTAGCGCCCACCAGATAAGTTCTCTTGGGATTCTATAGAAGGCCTTTTCTAGATCGAGAAAGACCATGTGTAGCTTTTTGTTCTTTTCCATGTATTTTTCACACATTTGCCTAATTGCGTGGATAGCATCAGTTGTTGATCTTCCAGGCATAAAGCCAAACTTAGTCTCTCATATTTCGATTATGTCTCTTAATCTTTTTTCTATTATTTTTTCGTATATTTTTAGACATAGTTTTATGCCCCTGTAATTTTGACAATTGTGTGGATCTCCTTTATTTTTGAAGATAGGAACTAGATAGCTCTGCCTCCATTTTTGGGGAACCTCTTCATTTCCAAGTATTTTATTGTACAGATTTGTAAGGAGATATATTCCATCATCTCCTAGTGCTTTAAGGCTTTCGAATATCGTCTGGACCCCTAGCTTTGTTGTTTTTCATATGCTTTAGGCATGTGATTATTTCTTGTTCTGTTATAGGTTGTACAAGGTTTTTACATGGGGAGTGTTCGTCTAGATGTAGTATGTGGGGATTAAAGTTGAGAAGGTTGAAAATATTCTTTCCATCTATTCATTATTTCTTTTTCCTTTATTATCAATTTCCCATCTTTATTTTTGATTACTTTCGGAGCTCTTTTTATATACCTAGAGTTCTTTTCTCGCTGTTTGGCTAATCTGTATATTTTATTTTACCTTTCTTTGGTATGTAGTTCTTCATACATGTCATCGTATGCCATAGATTTGGCCCTAGGCACCGCCTTTGTAGCTTTTCTCTTGGATTTTTTGTAATTTGTCTTGTCATCTGGGTTTTTGGATTTGTACCATATTTATATAGGGCTTTTTTCTCCTTTATAGTGGTTTGTACCTCTTCATTCCACCACCATAGTTCTTTGCATGATTTGGCAGTGACTATTAATCTGGATGAAATGTCTGTCCACATTTTTTCACTGACTTGTGAGGAATCTATTGTTTTAATGTTTGCATTGATTGCAAAGGCATCTGTCATTGTTTTTAATTTGCCCCATTTGATGCATTGTTCCAGATCTTTTTCTGAGTGGATTTATTTGAGATGTGTAAATCCATGACTAGTAGCTTGTGTTGTGCGGCGATATCTTCTCCTGGGATGACTTTGCAGTCTATTACATCTTTTAATTTTCTGCGAGAGATTTAGCATGTAATCTATTTGTGTTTTCCTTGTACCACTTTCGTATGTTATTAAATGACTGTCTTTTTCCTATTGTAGGTGTTGGTTAAGGCAAGGTCGAAGGCTTGCGCAAATTTCAGTACATGCTCTCCTTCATCATTATAACTGATCATTATAATATATTTAAATGTCATATGTTATGGTATAGTTAAATTATAGATGTTATACTAATAAAAAGTATATTAAATATTAAAACCATTGGTATCTTTACAGGATACAAAATTAAAATGATATCGGATCGGTAATTGGCCGATATCAATTTAATATCGGATCGGCCTCCAAAAAGTGATATCGGTACACCCCTAGTGAAAATATTTTTGTATTATTAAAAATATGTCATAAGTAAATTAATTAAATTTTAAATGATATAAATTATATAGAACTATTTTTTTCCTTAAAATATAATATATTATTATTGTTTATATATTAAGTTTATTCAAATAAATTGCTTAATTATCTAGCATTTGATTTAATAGTCCTAACTTAGTATCATCCAATATGCACACACCTATTAAATTTTTAAATAATATACTCTTTTTTAATGTAAAATTAAATAATTGTGAAAATTTTCTCTTAAAAATGGAAAAGGTGTGCGCTATATTAAATGCTAATAAGTTTAGATTATAATTTTTTTTTGTGAAATCTTTCACAAAAAAATGAATTTCTTAAAATTTTTGAAATGAAACTTAAAATTATTATTACATCAAAAAATTCCACCCATATGCACACGATCACATATTTATTATTTTTAGATAAAAAAATATAAATAAATCGAGTTTCAGCCTACCCATTTTATAGAACTAGGCACTTAATATAATGAATTAATCAAATTAAGGAATGCATTCTGTTTAAACTATTTGCATTATCATTCAAGATCTGTTTAAAATAATTTTTAATAATTACCATTTTCTATTTTCATGATGGAAATGGAATAAACATAATATGTAACTTTTAAACTATCTATGGTCAATATAAGTATATAGATTCATGGAAAATTTGCATTTTTTAATTTTTTCATGCCTTATTGATGATTTACATGCTTACAACCACTTTCCTTAAAAAAGTAGCTACTTAAGCAGATACTTAGAAATTATTTTTCCTTAAAGATAATTAATAAAATAATTCAGCCTAAATTATTATTTTTTTGATAGTCATAAAGGAGATATTTAAATATGAAATATATATCAATTCTATATCTAGCAAAGAATATCTTTTTCCCTAAAAATATATTTTGCCAAACTACTCAACAGGAGAGAACTAGATAAAATATGTAAATTATAACTTATTTCTGATCACAAGGTGTCATCATTTTGATTTCAAGTAATAAGTAAATGAACCCAAGAGACTAAAGGATTTTAACAGATTAAAAATTTTTTAAATATTTGAATAAATTTAATTATATTCATCATTTTAAAATATTAATGGAAATTTTTATTAAAGTGGCAAAATAATAGTTTTGCTAATTAAAATGACCAGTAAATAGTTACTTTTGAAAATTTTGGATATGTATATCTTATTTAATATATAGTAATTTCTCAAGTTTTGAATTATTTTTTATTAAATATATAAACACTCCTGGTTTGATCTAGTGAAGTTTATTTTTTGGAGAAAAACTATCACACCTTTGATCATAAATTTTGAAATAGCTTATGCCTTGACATAGACTGGAACTTGGAAAAAATTGTGGAACAGAATGGGAACATTGATTTCAAGGAAGTCCTAGAACATTCCAAAAAATTTGAAAATTAATTTTTGATCACTACTCATTTATAAATATTTATTTTTCCAAATTACATCTTGTCTCACATAAAAATATTATTACTCATTATTTAGTATATTATTGAAGAATTTTAGGATTATATTTTTTAAAATCAATTAAAAATAAATAATTTTCCTTCCAATTTATGTTTTTTAAAACTGAAATTAGATTTAAGTTATAATTTTTTAGAGAATGTTGTAATTATTACTTAATAATTATTGATGTTTATTATAGGTTTAAATGGTTTATTAATAAAAATAGAAAGATTACATTCTTATAGGAATAGAACTTCTATTTTCGGTAGAGCAGAACCGAACACAAAAATATCTTTTGCCCCTAAAATTTGTTTTATTTATATCATTGTAAATATATATTTATTAAATTTTTTCAGTGGAATTATTTCTTTATTTAGATTGTGTACATTCAAATTCCTTTGATTAAAATTTGTAAAAATTTTGTATAATAAAAAAAATTATATTAAAAATGATGGGTTATATAAATTATTTATAAAGTAAGTTATATTGAAATATAACTCTAACTTTTAACAAATTACTATTAAAATAATATAATAACTATTACCCTTTAATTATGTAAAATTAGTTACTTTCCAAAAGTAACTTTTAACAACACTACTAAATAAGTAACGTATTTTAGCTAACTACTCATAAAAGAGGGTGACTATTAAACTGGCTTAGCGCCCCCCATAGGCTGGCTTACATATTGGTTTCAATCTATTGTATTGGTTTATTTTGCCTATATTATATTGGTATTTATTTATATCTATACAACACACAGAAGAATAAAAAATATTTCATTAGAAAAGTTTTCAGACCGGCATTATTTGAGTTTTGATTCCCACTATCTTCCACTCCAATTACGATATCGTAAATAAATATATGCATATATTTTCATAGATACAAAAATATTACTATCACAGATGCTAAAATATATAGATAAGAGATCCAGATTTAATTTTTCTAAGGTAATAATTATTGCGCCAATATATTTTTTCGGGAAATTCAAACCGCATATATATCACTTGGTAAATTAAACATAATGATATATTTTTAGCATTATTCGAATTCACTAAAATCTAAAAATATTTTATATTCTTATTAATTTTCGAATAATATTTATATTGATATTGCCTTTAAACTAATATAGCACGACTATTGGATTGATTTATCAGCTATTGGTTAGCACTGAGCAGATAAATATAAAAATCGGATTGGTATTGATAACCAATAGAATATTGATATTGTTATCTCTCCTATTGACTTTGACGTCATTGCTAATTATAGTTATTGGTCATGGGTTATAAAAAATTTTTAAATTTCCCCTAAAAATAGATAATATTATATATTACAGAAATATGAAATTTCTATATAGGAAGTTAGTTCCATCATTGTGAACTGAATTTGATTCTATTTTTTATGAAAGTTAACCCACAACTGTAATGTTCATATAATATTTTTATTTTAATTGGCCATTCAATTACTCCCGTGAAAGGTCTAACCTAGAATCTCATTACCACAAAAATCTCTCCAAATTAGCCATCAAGATGAGTCGAACAGTACAAACCCATCAGGAGCAATCTAAGCTTACTCACTGTAAAACCCTCTCTAAAAATGCTTCCATTGATGATAAAAAATCAAAACAATCGAAGGATAAATACGGTCAAATTAGGAAATCATTCAGGCTCAAGAAAGATAAAAGGCAGACCATCAATGTTGAAAAGTGAAATTAATTTATATACTAATATTTTATAATATATTATGATCTTGCCTTATTTTATTTTAGCAATGATTGCATTCAATTTTTTTTGGAAAAAAATAAAATAATATCAAATAAAATCTTACTCAAATTAGAAAAAGGCAGGAAAAATTTAAAAAAATATATATATAATAATAACAGGTAGTTGACTTAAATTATAATTTTCGTAATTTGGTTTAAAAATATGATTTTATTTAATTACAAATTAGGTATATTATTATTATTATTTATTTAATGTATATTTCATACTTATTAACGCAGCATTATTCTCGAGTAAGTCCATTTATTACTTTTAAAATGCAATTTACATTTTGGGCTAAGTTCAAAATCATTTTTTAAAAATTCGAATTGTTAAAACTTTCATAAGTTTTAAAATTTTTTTCTTTAATATATTTTATTTTTAAGACATAGAGATAAAATTTCTTCATTTTCAATTTTCATTTAGTTATTTATTTTTTTATTATTTTCTTACATAGACTTATTTTTTAAATAAATTATTTTACTATTTTGGGGGATTTATATTATGCCAAAATTATTTTTAAAATTTGGACATTTTCTATTTTTTTTTGGTTGGCAATCTTTAATGCTATCTTGAGATTCGGCCCAATAGCATTTTCTCGATCATACTTTTTAGGGATGTACTGATATTTTTTATCGGATCCGGTTAGTCATTTGTCTTTTTTTAAATATGGGTTATCGACCGATAATTATTAAAATTTACATAAAATGGTGTCTTCATAATATTTAAGAAAATATATTTATTAAGTTAAGAGTATTTTTATTAAAATGATAAATTTTTTAAAAAACGAACTAAATAATTTTAAACATGAATAAAAAAATTTAACAATCTACATTGATCATAAATACTATACTTTTACACTATAGAAAGACTTTTGGAACAAACAAAAAAAGATTATAATGTTTACTATTAATAAGCTAAAAATAATAGGTTAATTAAAATTTGATAGATGTATATTTTAAATGACATAAGTTATTGTTATGTTATAGTCATAGATTATGGTATAGTTATACTATAAAAAAGTAGATAAGTTCATTAAAAAATATTAAATATGTATAACGAACAAATTTGGAATAATTATATCGGATTGGTAATCGGCCTATGTCTATATTATATCAAATCGGTCTCTAAGAAGTTGTTGTATCGGTAGACCTCTAATACTGCTATTACGTTTTACCCTTATTTTTTTTTAAATTAAAATTTTTTAAAACCTAGAAAATAGAAATAGGGAAGATATTTTTTATGTCATAAAATCTTAAATTTATTCCATTTTAAATTTAAAAATTTACACAAATCCTTACTTTATAAAAAATAAATTTCAAAAATCACATAAAAATTAGTTATTTTGACCATATGTTTTTTTTTGAAAACAACGATCAAGGTTTTATTATAATCCTAATCAAAATTTACTGCTTCGAATTTAGATAGTAATAACGGTAATCTCATAAATAAAATGACATCTAAAAAAATCATTTGCGATTCATCTATAATTTTAAATGTTGAAACTAAAAAAAAATTTCTATAAAGTAAAAATGAGTAAGAATTTAGGGCCGTAAAACACCGTGGTTGTCTTTTAAAATGAATTTTTTCTACTCACTCCTAGTTAGCAAATCCTTTCCCCACTTTTTACCCCACTTTTTGATTAGGATTTAAATTAGAAATATTAACTGGGCCCAAAGGGGCGATACTATTTTTTTAAATTAGGCCGGGTTTAAAAATTGAGGCCATATGTGAACCACTTTTACATATTTTTTAATTTGCGATAACGATGAAGTAATGGGGGCTGGGGTGGTTAACTATATTTTTTATGAACGATGTTCGTTTTTTTTGAAAAAAATGATGAACAGCTTTCCTTTATTGGCGCGTTCAAATTTAACGTTCGTTCAATTTTAAAAACACATTTTATTTTTATTTATTTAAAAAATTTATATTAATCCTAATTTTTTAAGAAAAAGTCTCTTATTTTTTAATTAGCTGTTTTATTTCCTTTTAAATTTCAATTTTTTTTAACACGCCATTATTATGGTTTATTAATTTGAATATTATTGTTTATATTCTAATTTATTAGATTATAGTGTAAGCATGGATATTATTCATCATAATCCTCTGTGATTCTGAAAATTTAAAATCAGATGAATTAACATTACCATGACCATAATATGATAAATATTTTACGGTATCTCTTATATTAAAGGAACTAATTCAATACATACCAAAGTTAAAATGTGCCCAAAAAGTATTATATCAGTTTTAAAATCTTCAAGTTCCCATTTAAAACGACATTTACAATATTAATTATTTTATTTTATACAATGTAACTAAGTATAATCATTAAATTTGAAGAAAAAATGCCTTAGGTATATTTGATCTCAAGATTTAATATTTATAAATTAAAAAAATTAGTAGCCTAAAATATGGTTAACTATTGATAGACGCAGTAATAAATGGGATTAATAAAAGGTATTAAACCTATCATTATCAAATTAATTACATATATTTTTTATAAGATTAGAACATATATGAAGATCAATATGATTTTTCTGCAATTATACAACCAATATTTAAGCCTCAATGCCCATGGATGAAACTTCCACAGAACAAAACTAATAAACTCATAGCGTTATTGAAAACCCTTGAAATTATATTGCAAGAACTCTTAATTTTTTTGACGAGGAAGTAGAGGATGAATTAGAGGAGGCTAATTTATCTCAATTTTTTGGAGCAAAAGACAAAACAATAAATGTTTTTAATAAATTCCCCATGTTAGAAGAGTTGTTAAGTTTAAAACCGCAATCCATCTGCCCATGTAGAGCATGTTTTTAATATAGTTAATGTCATATTAACTGCCAACCGTTTTTTCAGATGAAAATTTTGAAAAACAATTGTCATTAAAAATTAAAAGAAATCGCTATATTATATTGCATTTATAATTATATTATCAAATAAAAACTATATTCTTTTTTATCATGTCTAATATAATGTTTAAAAAATATAAGACATATATTAAATTATATTTTAAAAAAAATTTATAAAATTTTGAACGAACGTGAACGCGTTCGATTTTTGTCCAATAAACGTTGAACGCGAACGCGTTCCATTTTTTTAGAAATGTTTCTCCATCACTAATATTTTTATATTATTAATTTTTTACTTTTATAATATGACCTTTTCATTACCAATATATATTTTTTTTATAAAATCGATTTTTTTTTGTAGGGAAAATTATGATACGAGAATACGATTATTTTTGTAAATTTTAAAAATGTACAGAGTTGAAAAATTTATTTAAGATATCATCTTATTATTTTTAATCATTTATTCCATCCATCTAAAAATTGAGTATAAACGATTTTGGATCGTACCGTGTAATAAAAAAAAGTTTTAATTAAACAGTGTTTTTAAAAGATTGAAAGTATTCTATAAGAACCTTATTTCATCGGCTGGGTATTTAGTGTTATATATTCATTTTTTTAAATTGTTCCGGAAAGAATTTTAAAATTATATTTTAATTAGATGATCAGATTATGATAATGCAAATATCCTCAATTATATTTTAACATTTTTATTGTGGATATATAAGAATATAACGCTGAAGGATGCATTTATCAAAAATAAATTTGTAAAAACGTGGTTATAGAACATTATAATACTCAGTTGACGATTTATAAAATTTAATTTATCATTTTAAAAACAGATTGCCCTCGAATCAAATCGATTTACAATCAATATCAAATAAGTCATTTACGCATTACAAACACTAATAGTTAATTTGCTTTAATTAATCCGCCTGGAGGTGCGAATATATAAGTCAATTAAATCTTATCAGTGAAACAAATAATTATTAATTTAACACTAATTTTTTTGAAGATTATAAGATAAATGACATTTTATTATGACTTATATTATAAATTACTTTTTACTAAGCAATTGAAAGATATCAAATTAATTTAATCTAGTCTTTGTTAGTCATAATATAAACTTTTAAAATGATTACTTTTTTTTATAAGAATTTTTTAAAATCGAGGGTGCTTTTTTAGGAAACACCGTGTGCCACTGTCAGCTAATTAAAAAAAATTTTTGTATTATTATTTTCATAATAAAATAAATATAGCAAGAGTATGTGATACAATATGTTAAAAATATTTTTTTTGACAAGATAAAAAGGAGTATTGACAAACAATGACAATTATCGCGTAAGTATTTTGACCAGTAGATAACCAACGCACTTTAAATAAAAAATAACCCATTATATTATGGGATGTCTACGGGTGCAGCTCAGTTTCATATCCATATCTTATTTTTTGTGATAATCAAAATGGCGTTTTAACGGTCTCTTTGGGATAGATGGGACCGGACATTGATTTGATTTTTTAACTTCCAAGGCCACCTGGACAGGAGTCGAATCTCGGCAAAAACTATCGCCCTTTAAATTAAATTTTTTTATCCTTTTTCCTTTTTCCTTTAAAATTTTAAAAAATTAATGATTTATATATTAGCTAAGGCGAGCTGTAGTCATTTAGTTTTCAATTTAATATTACATTGATTTATCATATTCAAAAAGACCAAATCTACTAGGAATCACATTCTATAAAAATGAAATCCCCGAATTGTAAAAAAATAACAGTTAGGAATTCAGATCAAATAAAACACAATCATAACGGCTTTTCCTAATTTTTGCCATTTTATATTTAGGCTAAATCTTACCGATATTTAACCCCTCCCCTTTCTTGGTTCGATCGGGTCCATAACAAGTTTTTTAGATTTTTCATTACACAAAAGCGTTTTCCTATTGAACAAATTTAATTATAATAAATATTGGGTTTGTTTTCTTAAATATTAATATCATAAAATTAATTTAAAATTATGACTTCACCTGGCTTTTTAAAAAAATATTTATTTCAATTCCACTTCAAATTCATTCTCGTATTCTCTTTATTCATATTATTCGAATAACTTTGGAAAATCAATAGAAACAAAATTTAGATTACTAGGTGTTAAAAATTGATGTTTTATGAATAATACGGAATATTTTTTAAAACATATTAGCAATGACATAAATAAGAACTTTTTTTGGTAGGAAGAAGAAAGGAGAGCAAATATAGGTATAGGGCTAAAGTATGGTTAAGTTTCTTATTAATTTACCGAGTGAGGCTTGAATTTTAAGTAGTCAATAAGAAGGAAAAAAAGAGAAGGAGATCCTTCCACAAATATTGTAGATACAAATCCTAAAATCCTGAGTCCAAAAATTATAAAATATTTAGTTTACTTCTACCGATATTTTTATTCATCTAAAATGACAAAAGGACAACGACGTCATAAATATATAGTCGCCGTCAAATTTCTCTAATTTTTTTTGTTAAATATATATATATTTTTTTTTAAAACATATTTTGATGATATATCAAATCTTATATTAAATTTTATAATGCAAAAAAATTATCATTTTATAAAGAAAAAAAATTAAATGAAGTAGAGTGTATCGATATCACTTTTTGGAGGCCGTACCGATCTGATATCATATCTGTTTTTGTATTCTGTAAACATACTACTCGTTTTAATTTTTAATGCCTACATCTAGTATTGCAAAATCGCTCCATTTGAGCCAGTTTTTTAAAACGACGAACTCAGTGTTTTATCCAGAAAAATATTACGCAAGCCAGAAAATTATGCTCATAAATGGCTCAAGAGTTTGAACATCCACTAGCGAAATCTCGAGGCTTAGCCAATATATTTCCGGCTAAAATATAATTTAGCCTTTTTTAGCTATTTTGCATCATTACCTACATCTACTCATCTCATATACTTTTTATTAGCATTGATCTATAATAAAACTATACGATAACATAAGTCACTTAAATATATTATATAGTTTATATTCATGAATCTAAAGGTTATATAAAATATTTTTATTGATAAATCACTTATTTATATTTTAACATTAATCTATTTATATTTTTTTTTAACTTTCATAAATTACTATTTAATAAAAATAAACTTTTTGCATAATAATGAAAATATTTTAATAACCAAAAATCGGACTAAAAAAGATAATTGCTTTATAAAAAAATATATATTTGCGTAAACAAACTGTTTAATTATATAAAGTTATAAATTCTTGCTATTTTTTATTGATTGAGATTCAAGTTCCCTTTTCGCGTTAACATTATAATAGGCAGCAAAATGGCCAAAGTTTATCCTATGCATAGTGTTCAATTAGGGGGTTTTGGATATTGAAAAATAAAGCTGAGATAATTGTATTTTACTATGTTTATGGCTAATCTTTGGCGTAGGTAGAATCCCTCGCTGGGATCCTCGGTCCTTGCAGAGATCCGTTTTCCCAGCTCTTTAAAGAAGGCCAGGGCATGAGAGCCGAACGACGTTAGAGTCGTGGCGATTAATGGTAGGAATGTATAATTGGCGGGAAGAGATGTCGAATATTTAGCTAGTTTATTCCCCTCGGCATCTAGTATGACATCTCTATTTATATTGGAAGTGGCAAGAGGATCGATGCATGAGAAATCCCAGGTTAGGCATTCCCCCCTCTTCCAAGGGATCATAGTCGAACCATCGGAATTGTAAAGGCCAGTAGGCTCAAGGGTGGATGGGATGCCGGCGGATTTTAAGGCCCTGGCAATGGTATCATTGCATTTTGAATGCCTAATGAATCTACCTCTACAGCGCTTGCAATGTAGAGAGTGACGGCCTTTGGAGTTGACCGACGTTTGACAAAGTATATAGTGATAAGGCATTACCATATCGCAATTAAGTCTAAGACCTATGGCGTGACGTAGTTCGTCATTGCCTAGGAGCTGGTCAAGGTTTCGCGATGGGAATGCCTCAAGAAATTCGTATCCACTACCTGCGTGGAGAAGAGTAGAGAATGGTCCTCTGGTTGGCTTCTCGATTTAAGGAATGCAACGGAGTTGCCAACTAGAGGTTTATCCCAATCCTTCTGTAGTGCCGACGATGGAGGATCGACTAATGAGAGGGACTTCCATAGATCAATTACCTGTAGGAGTAAGGGGTCAGGATGTTTGGTGAGTGTTTGTATGATGGGCTCGCAGGAAAAGCGAGAGGATATGAACGCACTAAAATAAATTTTTAAAAATTAAGATGCCATTTTATCGGATCGGAAAATTTTATAATATCTGCCGATAATTTATATTTTGAAAATAAAATATCGGTACATCCCATAAATGAAGAGACGAGCACGGGAAAAAAATAATGTTTTTATAGTCATCTCGTTTTTTTAAGAAAACAAACATTATTTTGCTATCGGAAGGCGAAGGAAGCACTTTTTGTAAATTAAAATGGCAAATGCTATTAGCGATATATATAAAATTTTTTATGACATCAAGGAATTCCATATTTTTCGCTTGGGAAGTCATATGCCAAGAAATGGATGAAGAGTCCCAAATTCACAAGTAATATATACTTTATATTTTTCCTGTTTAAGGATATGATTAATGAGATTGGAAATCATATTTTCTCCAATCAAATTTATATGATTATGAATAAAAAAAGACTATTTTAATCAAATTAGCCAGTATATTCAGGTCACCCACAATCCGTAATCGCAAAATAATAATTAATGTATATTTCTTTTTTAATATTATTTTAAAAGACTAATATGCTGATAACCCAATAATTTTTATATACACTTATTTTTTGTTATTTTTCCCTCTTCCCTTAGAAATATAAGTGTGACTTTGAACGAAGATATAGTCAAGCCGTTGATCAATTTATCTAAAATTCACTCCGATTTACGCAAAACGGTTAGCCATCTTATATTTGTCGATCGAATATCTCTTTATTAATATTCTATTCGCGAATATCAATTAGCGATTGCCAAAAACTCTTAAATAAATTCTAAATTACTATTTTATTGTTTGTTTACACACATAAAAACGTTTTATAAAAATCAGTAAAAATAAATATGGTAAACTAATTTTCATTTACTAAAATGTAGTTGAAGAGATAAGCATAATAAGTCGACAAAGCATTGTAATTTGATACGATTTCAGGAAATCGAGATCAAAACCAGAATTTGTAACCTGTATTGGTAAAGGTTCGGTTCGTAATATTTTAAAGTAACAATGATTCATGTTTCGATTCTTAGATTTGCTCGGTTCCAAGGGTTCCGGTTCAAAACTTTATTAACAAGCTATTACAAAAATATTATTAAATTCTAAAATAAATCATTCAAAATTGTTGTCCACTTTTTTTTAAACTGGTTCGGATTCGTAAAATTTTTAGAAAATGGTTCTATTTCCGTGAGAAGTTCCAATTCCTAAATTAGTTCCGGGTTCTGATTTCAAATTTTGACCGACATGCTTAAAAGCGGGAATATTATGAGCGTATTATGTAAATTGAAACAAAAATCATGCAGTAAATGAGCTTAATAAATATAAAAGTTTGTTTTAAAAATTAAATATAAGATTGAAAGCGATGTTGAAAAAACCTGTAAACTATATGAAGAAGCCAGGTCCGATGAGATCAAGGTATTGCAATATAATTTATATTATTCTTTGCTAAAAAAATAATGTCATTACTCATTTACACGTGTCATAGCATTTAATCCAATTTCTGTCACTTAAAAAGATTGACGTTTCTTGCTTAAAATCAAATCATGTTTATTTGATTCTTTACGTTTAACCTTTTTCATATTTAGAACAAAGTAGCCAGTTTTGAAAATCACAAACAAGTCGAAAAATTGAAGGAAAATATTGAAGCTCTCACGAAGAAAAATTCTGAAGCCTTTAAATCCGTTCCAAACGCCGCATCCTCTCCAGCCGAAAAAGAAATTTTTAAGGTTAATAAAAAAAAAAAATCTCTTTTTTTAAAAAAATAATCAAATTAGATTTAAACTCACTGACTTCTGCTCTTTACTAGCGACCCCACATAGGGAAATATGAGGCGGTTCCTTTCCTTTAATTTAAAGATTTGTTTAAAATATGTCTAGTCAAAAATAATGAATAACCAACTATAAGCAAATAAATTTTTAAAAATAATAATAGATTCTGGGTCTGCAGGTATGATTTATTTTCATAAAAATGGAACAGGTTTAATTATTGTTGAAATAATAAAACCTCATTTATTTGATTTAACCTTTAACTTATATAAAATAAAGTTAGTTTAATTTTTTTTATTTATTTTTAAAACTATGGATGCTTAACAAAATAAATTTTAAAAAAGAAGAGCCCTTAAAAGTTAGCCAACAAACAATATCTGTCATTCTTAATAAAACTAATATTTGGAAAATTTCTGATTCTAAATCCATAATTATATCTAAACTTATTGAAGAAATGATAGCCTGCGACCATCAGCTAATTTTTATATTGGAGGATAACTGCTTTAAAAAATTATTACATCATTTATATCTGAATTTTCCAATAGAAAGTATTTTTCGCAAAGAGTAATTTCTGATATATATGAAAAATTTTCCGAAAAAAATTTTGGCTGAGGGTTCTTATTTCTAGAAATTCAGGTGGTGATTCTCATATCTCTCTAACATGCCATTATATAACCCAAGACTAACGTATTATACTACAATAAACATTGCTCATATTTTAGGCGAGATTAATTATTTGGGGAATAAAAAAAACAAAATACGCTTAATTCGTGATAACGCACCAAATATAGCCTTGGCCATGAAAAATGGAAAATTTCAAAGTGTATCATGGTTTGCCATAGTTTACAATTTGGGCCGGGTTGGCTTTCAGGCCCATACCCAGCCCCGTTATCTAATTATATATATTTCCTATATATATTTCCTAGCGGGCCCTCTAGGTTATTTTAATGGGCTTGGGCCAATTAAATTTAGCTTATTTTAAGAATATTTAATAGGACAAATATTACAAATCATTTTGATTTTAGTAGGTGTTATTTATCACATTTCCTATACTCCTTGGTAGAGTGTTATTGTTTTTTTTTAAATTGCAAATTTGTATATTACTTATTCTTGACATAACAGATTTAAAGTGTATAGGTAATAAATATTATTTATAATTTAAGGGAAAAGTATAGTTGAATGGATCCTATTTTATTAATACATGTTTTTTATATATGCAGCTGCTTATATAGATTAGGTTGTAATACATCATGGTTTAGAATAAAATGCATCAATCTATATGTATAAAACCGGAAATAGCCATAAAAAAGGTTCAAAATTTTTATCACACTGCTTTATATTTGTACAAAATTCGCACTTTATTTAAACTTTTATTAAATTTTGTTTCGAAATTGCTTGACAAAATAATTCAAAACATATTTATAACTTTATTTGTCTCAAATTGCATAATTACATATAATACAATTAAAAATTTATAATTATATTTAAAATATATCATATATTAAATCATCGAAAGAATTTGAATAAATTTTGACTTTCATTTTGTTTTCGCCTAAGCATGGAACTTTTGTGTTCCAGAATCTCTTTGCTCACAGAAACCTGCTTTCAAGATGATTTTCCATATTGATATATTAATTATTGCTCACAAATATATAATTTACCCCATGGATATTATTTCCTGCATAGTTAAATAAATCCATTGTTTTGGAACTGCATTAGAAAATTAATAAATTTTAGCCACTCTATTAAATTTTTCCTTCAAGAATAGGATCAATTTTGTTTGAAATAAATAGAACATGCATTATGAGAAAATAAAGAATTATTATTATGATTATGATTTTAAGATGAAATAAAAATTAAGGAGCTAACATTAGGGGTTACGAAAACTACAATATCAAGGTGAATTTATCGATTAAATATAAAGACATTTGTTGAATTTTAATTTTGGTAGATTGTTTTATGCTAAATAAAATATTTAAAATTATTTTGCCAAGTAATTTCGTGACAAAATTTAACTAAAGTAATAAATAAAGCATATTATCCCAGCCGCCTCTCAAAAATTTTGTTAAAGATAAAAAAAAGTAAGGGCCTATTAGATTGAATTTTTAAATAAACATTATTTCATAACTATTCATTAAATTTAAATATGATGATATTTATGTTTAAATGATCAAATTTAGCTATATAAAGAGTCATAACTCCTAGAACTATGTTCATCCTAGTCTAGCATTTTGTACAAATATAAAGCAGTGCACAGGGGAAAAATTTAAAATACCCTTTTTCTCCTGGTTTATACATCCGGTTTTCGATATTAATCAGATTTCTATTATATTTATTTGTATGTCATATTAAAGAACTATTATTAAGCTACATTTTAAAATTTATCTCTAACCTAATTATTTCTCGAGATATTTCAAAATAAATGAGGTGGATTTTGTTAAAAATGTAGCATTTTTCCATGCTTTAAACTCCTATATCTTATCTGGTAAACATGTTTCAAATTGGGACCAGGGAAGGATTAAATCATCTTCACCTGAAGAAGTAAGTACTATGGACATAATATTATTAAAATAAATTATAAAATAGAATATTTATATTATTATTAACATTTACTTTGAATTTTGATTGAATATTAATTAGATTAACATTCGACTGAAAATTTAATGAGTATTTAAAATAAAAATGTAGGAATTGTGGTTGATATGAATTAAAAACTCATCATAAATTATTTATATTAAAATAATAATACTCATTTTATCAAACTTTTTTAATCGGTCGTCTATAAATTTTATTAAATTTCTTTTTACATAAAACCTAGTTTAAAAAAAATATAATTTATAAATTTATAATTATATAATTAAAAATAAAAATAAAATTCTATAATTGAGTCCCCAAAAAGGAACCCTAATTGTGTCTAAAATTTTTTATTTGGATTTTTTGTCGAATAAAAAGAAATTCTCTGGGTTCATTTGTGAAAAGTCGTATTTTATTACCCAGATTTTTTAAAAACATAAATGTTGAAGGCGAAATGTCCGTTAGTAGAGGTCACTACTGGAGTGAATATGAAGTTTTTAAAATTTTTGTATTTGTTTGTCTTTTTAATTTCTGCCTGTGTTATTAAATTGAAATTTATGTTTGAAGGGAATGATGAGACACACGTGTAATCCCATATAAGTGATTTGCCGAGGGCCCAAGGTATGGTTGTCATACCATCAGGTCTTAAACCCTCTACTTGAGATTGGAATGTGTGCATCTGTTAGGCTTCTATTTATTATATGGTTTACAGCTTAGTGGCGTTGATGTCGTCCTTGACTAAATATACAATTTAAGCCACGTCTACCCTTTGAATCGACGGGTGATTTGCATTTGATGCAGGCATGAGGCTGTACTATATCACAACCTAGATTGGTTACTCTCAATTGTTCATCTAATAAGAGATTACCAAGGTTACGAGGAGTGAATCTAACCATTCATGACCACCAAGTCTGTCAGATAATTGAAAGAGTTGAATGCAATCTAAAGATAGATTGACTGATATATCTGTTTGGTATTTCGAGATTAAAGGTGTGAAATCATCTATCCATGAAATGAAAATTATTTTTATCATTCATAAAATAATCCAATTACTTGCCGACAAACGTGAAAATAATTTCTGTCTCTTTGTGGACCATCATTGCCTAGATGTGCAGGATCAAAATTACAAACAATACCTCTCATAGTTTTCTTGCACATTACACATACCCTCACTTATAACAAGCAATTTTGTAACACCAATTTAATAATTTATAATCCTATATACATAGTTTTGCTAAGAAATTTTAATTTTCATATTAAAAATATTTTTTCTTTAAAAAAAAAAATTAAATAAAATAATGTCAACAATTTGTAACATTTGTGCAAAACTAATTAAAGTGACAAAGGCCAGTCTTTTATACAAACATAGTTACAAAGGGTCAACATGTCCTTCCTCTCAAGTCTCAATAATCTCTAACCAATGAAATTATAACAATACCCAAACCCTTATTAAATATTAGAGCCTCATCCTCCCCCTATTAACATAGATTTTCTTGAAAGATTTTTGGAATGGAAAAAAGACCCACTTTAACACATCTACCAAATAAATCTAGAAACCTAATTTCAAATTTTGTTACTAAACTTATCACAAAAGTTAATGATAACTTAAATTGTTTAAAATCATGGGAAGACTTATTAACCTTCTCTCACAAATGTCTTATACGTCCCGCTAACAAAGAAACCCCATTACATGAACAAATAAAATCAAACATTGATAATTTTGACACTATTCAAATGATTAATTACAATCATAATGTTAAAAAGCAAGTAGATGATATAACACACAAATGCAAAATAATATCAAATAAAATAGATCGGTGACATAGGCTGTGTAATTAAACCTATATCCTCAGATAACCATCTTTCTCCTATCAATGAAGAAACATTACAACTACATCCCGAAGCTTCCACAGATAATCTACCCATCTCTCCAATCACCAGACTGTAATTTTTAACAGTAATGAAATAGTCAATGCTATCAATTCTTTCAATAAAAACTCAGCAGGTGGTCTTGATGGTTTCAGACCCTCCTATTTTCAATACTTAATTAATTCAAAAAATCCTTCCCATAGTTCTGTCATCAAGGTTTTAACAACTTTTTGTAATAACATAATTAATAATGATATTCCAATACAAACTCACCAAATCCTTTTTGGTGCACGTCTAATTGCATTATTCAAGCCAGACGGTGGTACCCGTCCCATTGCAGTAGGCTCCTTTTTCAGAAGATTAATAGCCAAAATCAATCGAACACATCAAACCTATCAATTAGGTTTTGGGATCACGGGCGGGTGTGAAATAGCGGCTCATACCTTAAGAATTTACTTAGAAATCCCACCACCATATTCTGTAATATGTAAACTAGATTTCAAAAATGCCTTCAATAG